TGGCTTAGAAATGGCACGAAGAGGAGAGGCTCTGCCGTTGGGACTGGGTAGAAAAGGGATAAGCGAATTTCTCCCTGATTTCTGTTTTTCAATGTGTGTTTTCCACCTCTACCTACTTGTCATCGACTTTTATTTCTGGTTCGTCTGTCAACATCTTTTTCTCACCACCTCCCAATCCCACCATGGCCAGATCCTCCTCTAAAAGGAGGAGCTGAGAATGGAAAAGATAAAGTGACTAGAAAGAAAAAAAAAATACATATATATATATATATATACACATATATATAATAGCCCCCAAATCCAGGACACTGGAAAAATGTGCCTTGGCTTTGGATTTTCTAATAACTTAGAACCTGGCTATAAAATAGTAAGACCTCAGTCATTTCTCTCCAGGGATGAGTCACGGAAGCAGAATGGCCAACAGAAAACACTCAAGCCCCTCCCACGAGGCCCAAGCCCCGTGCGTTCCACCCCGTGCCTCATTTCCCACTCTCAGAGCTCCTGAACTCTGATTCTGCAGCTTTTGACAGCTCTGTGCCTTTGTGAAGCTGCTGCTTCTGCCTGGAACCCCCTCAGGACCCCAGTCCCTTAAGCACAGACTCAGGAGCCGGACTGCCTGGGACCCCCGCTGTGACCCCAGAGGCGTCATCTCCCTACTCAACACTTCTAGTCTTTTCTCATCTACAAAGTGGGAACAGCAGTGCCGACCTCACAGAGTGGCTCTGGAGATCACATCAGCTATAAACAGTGGCTGGTGCAGAACACACGCTCAGTAACAGCAGCTCATAGGACGCCTGCTCATCCTGAGCCCAGGCCCAGACCGAACTCACTTCCCAGGGACACTGTCATTCCTTCCTCTGTTCTCCCGTGGCATGATCCATGTCCCTCTGGTTGTCCTTTGACGGTGTTTTCATCCTGGTTACATATCCGTCTGCTCTGTTACATTTTGCAGGTCATGAAGGGCAGGTTCTATCTTACTCATCTTATAGCTTCAGCACCCAAAACACAGGTACACGTGATTCCCAGACGTGCTGTGAACATTTTTTTCTAAGCACATGATTTCTCACCTTCTCTTTGGTAAATCCATTGTGTCATATATATATTTTAATGTATTTGTTTTTGTTTATTGGAAAAGCAGAACAATAAAGAGAGAAAGAGAAATAGATCTTCAATCTGCTGGCTCACTCCCCAAACACCTGCAATAGCTGGGGCTGAACCAGGCTGAAGCCAGAAGATCCACTCAGATCCCCCATGTAAGTGGCAGGGACCCAACTACTTTTCCTATCACCTGAGGCCTCCCCAAGGTGTTCATTCGCAGGAAGCTGGATCCAAAGTGGAGCAGAGGAGGCTGGCACTGTGACGTAGTGGATAAAGCTGCTGCCTGCAATGCTGGCATCCCACATGGGTGTCAGTTCGTGTCCCGGCTGCTCCACTTCTGATCCAGCTCCCTGCTAACAGCCTGGGAAAAGCAGAGGAAGATGGCTCAAGTGCTTGGGCCCCTGCACCCTTGTGTGACACCTGGAAAAAGTTCCTGGCCCCTGGTTTTGGCCTGACCCAGCCCTGGTGATTGCAGCTATCTGGGAGTGAACCAGATTGATCTCTCTCTTTCTCTCTCTTTCTCCCTCTCTCTTGCTCTCTCCCTCTCTCTATGTAATGCTGACTTTCAACTAAATAAATAAATCTTAAAAGAAAATTTAAACAAGGAAAATTCAAAGATTAAAAAAAAAACAAAAAACCAAAGTGGAATAGAAACTCAAACCCAGGCAATCCATAACCATGGCACCAAAGGCCTGCCCCTCTGTTATCTTTCCTAGTTACACTTTCCACACACAAGGACTAAGAGATAGTTCAGATGTAACTTTTCCTTTAAGGTCATCTTTGACTCCTCCCTCCTTTCCCAGTGAGAATTATTTCTGTCTGTATCTCCCAGTATTTTATAGCATCCATATTTATTAATTCTCTTAGATGTCTCCTTCCTGCACTCAACAGATCTTTAAGAACACAATGTGCATGGCATAAAGTAACCCAGTGGCCGTCAATTTTACCTGTACAGTAGAATCACCCAGTTTGTGTGTGTGTGTGTGTGTGTGTGTTTTGGGATCTATATTTGTTGGAAAGGCAAAGTTACAAAGAGGGAGAGAAAGAGAAATTTTCCATCTGCTGGTTCCCTCCACCAGTGGCCTTAACAGTTGTTTAGCCGGTCCAAAGCCAGGAGCCAGGAGCTCCTTCCAGGTCTCCCACATGGGTGCAGGGGCCCAAGCACTTGGGCCATCTTCCACTGCTTTTCCCAGGCCATTAGCAGGGAGCTGGATCAGAAGCGGAGCAGCCAGGACTTGAACTGGCGCCTATAAGGGATGCTAGTGCCACAGGTGGTAGCTGTACCCGCTATGCAACAGTGCCAGCCCCTACCCAGTTCCTTTAATTTTTTTATTTTTATTTATTTATTTATTTTTGACAGGCAGAGTGGACAGTGAGAGAGACAGAGAAAGGTCTTCCTTTTGCCATTGGTTCACCCTCCAATGGCTGCCGCGGCCGGCACTCTGCGGCCAGCGCACCGCACTGATTCGATGGCAGGAGCCAGGTACTTATCCTGGTCTCCCATGGGGTACAGGGCCCAAGCACTTGGGCCATCCTCCACTGCACTCCCGGGCCACAGCAGAGAGCTGGCCTGGAAGAGAGGCAACCGGGACTAGAACCCAGAGTGCTGGCGCTGCAAGGCAGAGGATTAGCCTATTGAGCCACGGCGCCGGCCCCAGTTCCTTTAAAACATTAATTTGTAGGTTCACATACTTAAAGAATCTTATTAAATAGATTTGGGTCAAAACCCCAAATTACCGTCTCACAGCTGATGGGCTGAGAACCTCTATAACCGATACAAAACCCACCTGTGATATTGGCAGAGTGCTGGTTTGAGTCCCAGGTGCTCTGAATCTAATCCAGCTTCTGGCAAGTGTTCCTGGGAAACCAGCAGATGATGGTCCAAGTCTCTGGGCCCCTGCCATCCATGTGGGAGACCCAAATGGTGTTCCTCGTTCCTTTCTTTAGCCTGGCCCAGCCCGGGATGCTGTGGCCATTAGGGGAGTGAATGAGCAAATAGAAGATTTCTCTCTCCCCTAGCCCCCATGCTCTGCCTTTCATATAAATAATTAAAAAAAATTTTTTTTAAATATATTTATTTTTTATTTATTTATTTATTTTTTTGACAGGCAGAGTGGACAGTGAGAGAGAGAGACAGAGAGAAAGGTCTTCCTTTGCCGTTGGTTCACCCTCCAATGGCCGCCGCGGCCGGCGCGCTGCGGCCGGCGCACCGCGCTGATCCCATGGCTGGAGCCAGGATCCAGGTGCTTTTCCTGGTCTCCCATGGGGTGCAGGGCCCAAGCACCTGGGCCATCCTCCACTGCACTCCCTGGCCACAGCAGAGAGCTGGCCTGGAAGAGGGGCAACCGGGACAGAATCCGGCGCCCCGACCGGGACTAGAACCCGGTGTGCCGGCGCCGCAAGGCGGAGGATTAGCCTAGTGAGCCGCGGCGCCGGCTTTAAAGATATATTTATTTGAAAGGCAGAGTTACAGAGAGGCAGAGAGAGAGAGAGAGAGAGAGAGGGAGAGAGAGGTCTTCTATCTGCTGGTTCATCCCCAAATGGCTGCAACGGCCAGAGCTGCGCCGATCCGAAGCCAGGAGATTCCTACAGGTCTCCCACATGGGTGCAGGGGCCCAAGCACTTGGGCCATCTTCCACTACTTTCCCAGGCCATAGCAGAGAGCTGGATCGGAAGTGGAGCAGCCAGGACTTGAACCAGCGCCCATATGGGATGCCAGCACTGCAGGCAGTGGCTTTACCTGCTATGCCACAGCACCAGCTCTCAATAAGTAACTCTTGAAGGGAAAAAAAGGGGGATGGGTCTGGGGCCAGTGCTGTGACCAAGCAGGTAAAGCCGCCACCTACAGTGCTGGCATCTCATATGGGCACCGGTTTGAGTCCCGGCTGCTCCACTTCTGACCCAGCTCTCTGCTATGGTCTGGGAAAGCAGCAGAAGATGGCCCAAGTGCTTGGATCCCTGCCCCGGCGTGGGACACCTGCAGGGAACTCCTGGCTTTGGATCAGTGCTGCTCCAGCCGTTGCAGCCAATTGAGGAGTGAACCAGTGGATGGAAGACCTCTCTCTCTGCATCTCCTTCTCTCTCTTTGTAACTCTGACTTCCAAATAAATAAATAAATAAATCTTTTAAATTAAAAAAAAAAAAAAGAAGGGGGAGTGGGTCCAGGGCTGTGGCATAGCAAGTTAACTGCCATCTGCAGTGCTGGCCGTTACCCTGTGGCACCAGTTCAAGTCCTGGCTACTCCTCTTCCAATCCAGCTCTCTGCCAATGCACCTGAGAAATCAGTGCAGGATGGCCCAAGTGCTTGGGCCCCTGCACCCTTGAGGGAAACCTGGAAGAAGCTCCTGGCTCCTGGCTTCAGCCTGGCCCAGCCCTGGCTATTGTGGCCATTTGGAGAGTGAACCAGGTCTATATCTATTCATTCAAAGGTAGACAATAAAGAGTCATTCCACTAAACCTAACCAATTCTGCGGGTCCTTTCCACTTAAGAGAAATGGTAGTACGATGTCCTCTTCGATGATATAGTTCAGTACTATAAAATGATGCACCTGGTGTGAGCTGGCAGGTACTTTGGCCTAGCAAGTTAAGCCACCGCTTCAGATGCCTGTTTCCATCTCAGAGTACTTCCGTTCCAGTGTCAGGTCGGCTCCCATTGCCGCTTCCTGCTAATGTGTACTGTGGAAGGAGCAGGTGATGGCTCAAGTGGATGCATCTCTGCTACCCACTTGGGAGACCTGTTAAGAGTTCCTGGCTCCCAGCTTTGGCCTGGCCCAGCCTAGGTCACTGCAGGCATTTGGGGAATGAATTGGCAGACTTGAGTTCTCTCTGCCTCTCCAAGGGTTTGCAGAAGGGTAGGAACAGGAGTCGAATGTGCTGGGCCCAGCCAAGGTATGGCACAGGTGAACAGAGACCAGGAGAAATGGCTTTATTTGGACTGAGAGACGGGAAACTAGAGGCCCAGAGATAGCATCTTTGGCTGAGGATGTGAGATTACATTCCAAAATAGTACTCAGAGCTCATCAACCAAATAGACTGCACTTCCCAGCAGCCTTGCAGTCGGTACAATCAATGAAAGGCCTGCTGGGGAGCAGACCTGCTATAGGCACACCCAAGTGTGCCACCATCACAACAAAGGCACAGATTTTTTTTCTTTAAAATTAACATTTCCACAGATACCACCCCCCAGTCAGAAGTATTACAAAAGAAGGAAAAAAAATCACATTTTTCAGATCTTAGTCTTCATTATCTTCAGAAAACAGTTCCCCTGCTAAACTCTCAAGCTATAAGATCTATCCAAGCGGCAATAAGACGGCCTTTGCTAGCCCACGGCAATCCTCTTCCCACTGGGCCTAGCCAGTCAGGGCTGAACAGCTCGGGTGAGTGAGGCTCGGGTGGAGGTGGGCTGGGGTGGGGGCCAAGGGCATCTGAAGCTTGATGGGAGAGTACAGCTGGTGAGACTGGAGGGGAGGGTCCGGGCCCTGTGTTCAGTCAGAGTCACTGCTGGAAGAGGAGGAGGAGGAGGAGTGCTGCAGGGGAAAGGGGAAAGGAGACCATCAGATCACAGAACCTTCCACGGGCCATTCTTCCGGGCCCCGCCCCTCAACCCAAGTCCTGCTTGCTTCCGGGTAAGAAGCTGACGACACCTGCACCTGGCTTAAACAACAATCCAAGAAGAGAGTAGAAACAGCAGCTGCTGTGTGTACCTGGAGGAGGTGGGGAAAGGTTGGGGGGGGCATTCTATTCACGCATGCATACATGCATACTCCCAACTACCAAAAATTCAGTCTAGCATGAGAGCCCAGATCTACAAAGCAAACAGACACTGGGCAGCAAAATGTGAACCAAGTCCTTCTCAAAATCCAGGCTGGCTTTAATCCCTCCGCAGCTGTCCTCGGAACTGCTCTTAGCCTGATTGTGAGCACTCCCCTACAAGGGAGACACTCACACTTGGGGCAGGAAGCCGCCCTTAGTCCCTTGGGTTGCTTGAGGCTGAGTCACCCACTGCTCTAGCTGTCAGCTTCCCTGCTGTGTGGTAGCAGGAGAAAGGCCCTTGTAATTAACACACCCTGAGAACACTGAAAGAGAGAAAGGAACTCAGGGAACTAGGGCCAGATTATTCTGTTAATTATTATACAAGACTTTGCCTAAACACTGAGCCTATTAATTGACATGCCCACAGCCTCACTGGGTGTGTCCAACTTCCTCCAACACGCAGACAAGGGTAAGGAGGTGAAAGTTTTTGGAGAGCTTAGGGCAGACAGACAAGCTTGTGATTCTGACACCCACACCACTGCTCAGCTGGGCCCCTTCCAGGTGGGAGGCCCCTAATACGAAGGTCCTTCCAAAGGTTCAGGGAAAATATGCATTCTGGGGCGACATGCATGGAGTTCAGCGAGTTTTGCGCCAAACTGCACTTTGAATTCCACTTTCCCATGAACTTCATGAAGTCCCCTCATATTTCTTTTCAAGATTTTTGATTCTTCCCGGTAGGAATATTTGACAGACAGGAAGAACCATTCACCAGATGAACACACCTCGCTACCCACCGACCGAATCCCTCTCTCCCAGTCCTGGGACGCCGCAACCCGACGGGCGGGCCCCCCCACGGGCACTCACTTTGCCATGATGCTTGTGATGCTTGTGCATCTTCTTGTGCGCTTTCTTCATTTTCTTGTGCATCTTCTTATCCATCACCACTCCTGGTCCTACCATGCCAGGCGCCAAGGGATTCACAGGAGGCATGCAAGGGCCAGGGGGTGGGCATGGAGAGGGGTGGGGGCCTGGGGGGTGGCATCCTGGATATCCTGGGTTGGGCACAGGATGGTGGGGCCCACATGGAGGGAAAGCTGGATTCCCATGTTGGGGCCCAGGAGGACAGGGAAGGGGGCCCGGAGGAGGAGGAAAAGCTGGATTGACCTGTGGTGGACAGGCAGGGTTGGGGGGATATGGACTTGACCCTGGATGCCCTGGTGGAAGAACCAGAAAATACGCAAAGATTAGAACTGCTCAGAGCATCTGATAGCAAAGCACGACGCAATGAAAGGGACTGGTTTTCTCACCTACAGCTTAAAGGGAAATGGGGGAAAAAAAATACAAGGACAGAGAAAGCAGGGGAGGGGGGAGAAGCCTGAGTTGGAGAGAGAAAGGGAAACCTCCGGGAAAGGTTGGGGCGGGGAGGGGGATGAGCAAGCGTGCGGTCCGCTGTGGTCCAAGGACTTAGCGTTTGCGGGCAGCTGGAAAGGCTGGGCTGGGGAAAGCGGAAACTTCCTGTCGTGGGGCCCATCTGAAAGGCGGTGACGGGTGGGAGAAGATAACCCCCAAGCACCTACCGGGGTTGGGATTCCACATGTTCGGATGTTGCCCGCAGCCTGAGGAGAAAGCAAGAAGCCAAAAAGCTCAAACCCTAACCGCTCCAGTCCCGCAGCTGTCTCTCCCACTTAGGGCACCACCAGGCCCTCCACTTCAGAAACGTCTCTTGCCACGCCCTCCCTCGCCCCCAATACTCACTCTATTCCCGGTTCTGTGACCACGGGGCCCTCCCTGTCCACTACGTGTGACCGCAGCTGCACGCGTCTAACTCCTCCAAGGACGACCGAGCCCGCGAGGCTCGGACCCTCACCACTCACCTCCCTTCTGGAGATTTCTAACCACCCCCAACTTCACCGCCCCTGAGGACCCCAGCGAAGAGAGGAACAGACCCTGAGGCAAGCGAGATGAGAGTTCAAGATCGTCAAACCTTAAATAAGTGGACACACCCCCTTCCTCCAAAAGAAAGGGCAAATGGGGATCCTAGTTCCCAGCCGCGAAGGGGCCCCTGACCCAATAATAGGGAAGGAGGAAATCAGAAAACCCAGGCACCCGGTCACCTTTCCACCACCGTCAGGACGCGATTCCTCCTTCTTCCCAGTCTCCGCTCTCGCTTCCTGGTCACCCCTATCCAATGCCTCTGCACCCGCCTCTGTTCTCTTCTAATTGGTTACTTGCGTGTCCACTCGGCACGGTGATTGGAGAACAGACGCGTCAATCACTCTTGTCCTACTGTACCGTGAGGAAACGGTTGCTGCGCGGCCAGGGCGGAGCCCTTCAGGCAGAGGCTGGTGCCGAGACGCCCGGAAATCTCCTGTAGGTGGGGCAGGGACGGAGCCATTAGCTGGGCAAAGTCCGGAGTCGCGGAGACGACACTGCGCTGGCTTTCTGAGCTCATAGTTCAATGGATTCGAGACCTTGTAATGTGATTGCACGATGGTAGATGCGAACCCAGGCGGTGAAGCAGCGAGGCCCAGCCCAGGTTCCCTCTTAGGCTCCACGGATACAAACAAACATTCTTGGTGGAAATACAGATTTCCTAATAGCTCCCGTGACCCCGCCTCCTGTTGAGTTGCCTACACCAGAAAGCAAGATCGATCTTGGTGCCTTCCCCCTCCCCCCACCCCAAACCTACACGAGGTATTATCCATCTCCGAACAGGCACGGAATACCTGCATTTCTATCTTCTCTGCTTCCTGTCTGCCTGGGTTGCTACAATGGCCTTTTTTCTTTGTTTTTGGAACTGGAGTAGACCCCAGACCCTTGCATCCTCTTGGCCTTCACGAGGACTTGGCCAACCACTGACAGGGGCCACAGTGGCGCGCGGGCAGCTGTCCCTTCACTGTGGCACTCCTCTGGTGGTTGACTGTAAGGAAATCTTCACGTTGGGGTTGAGAGACCCATGCAGAGATCAGAGAGAGAGGGGAGAGACAGAAAGAGATCTTCCATCCACCGGTTCACTCCCCACATGGTTGCAACAGCCAGCTGGCAAGACCAGCTTTACCAGCTGTGCCACAACACCTGTCCCTTTTTTAAGGAAGTTAAATGGTGGCAAGTGGGCTGTCCTCCAGCAAATGACTGACACATTGAATGCCCTGAGACTGGAATTCTAAAACCCACAGGCCAGGCCCTAACATAAAGACATATGTGTTCTAGTACCATATTGAATAGAAGTGATGACTTTTTTTAAGATTTATTTATTTATTTGAAAGTCAGAGTTACACAGAGAGAAGAGAGGCAGACAGAGATCTTACATCTGCTGGTTCACTCCCCACATGACTGCAGTGGCCAGAGCTAAGCCAATCTGAAGCCGGAGCCAGGAGCTTCCTCCGGGTCTCCCATGCGGGTGCAGGGGCCCAAGGACTTAGGCCATCTTCTACTGTTTTCTCAGGCCATAGCAGAGAGCTGGATCAGAAGTGGAACAGCCCAGCCGGGACCTGAACCGACATCCATATGGGATGCCGGTGCTGCTGGCCAGGGCCTTAACCTGCTGCACCGCAGTGCTGGCCGCTCGTTAGTCTTATAATCTGGGGCCTGTGGAGCTATAGGGCTGGCAGGACCCAGGCACCACCACTCAATTCAGTGAGTTAGTCTTCAGTCAGGGGTTGATTTGCAATCACCAAAAGCATGATCAACAAACTTGAACTTAAAGGAGGGAGACTGAGAACTGGAAGAAACTGGGAGCTGATAGCATCTGTGTGCTAAAGGCCCGGTATACAGGCTCCATTTCATAACAACACGATGAACAGGCTGTCATGGGCCTATGTAGAATCACACACCCGACACTTAAAGGTTGCTCATTCTTCTTAGAAGACTTAGGAATGGGTCACAGGGAGGGCGCTTAGCTTACTGGGTAAGACAGGAGTGAAGGCCGGCACCGCGGCTCACTAGGCTAATCCTCCACCTTGCGGCGCCGGCACACCGGGTTCTAGTCCCGGTCGGGGCGCCGGATTCTGTCCCGGTTGCCCCTCTTCCAGGCCAGCTCTCTGCTGTGGCCAGGGAGTGCAGTGGAGGATGGCCCAGGTGCTTGGGCCCTGCACCCCATGGGAGACCAGGAAAAGTACCTGGCTCCTGCCTTTGGATCAGTGCGGTGCGCCGGCTGCGGAGGCCATTGGAGGGTGAACCAATGACAAAGGAAGCCCTTTCTCTCTGTCTCTCTCTCTCTCACTGTCCAAAACAAAATAAAACAAAATAAAACAAAATAAAATAAGACACCAGTGAAGACACCCTTGACCCGCATCAGAGTGCCAGAGTTCAATACCCTGCCCTGTCTCCTCACACCAACTTCCTGCTGATGTAGACTCTGGGAGGGAGTAACGCTGACTCAAGGGCTTGAGTCCCTGCCACTCCTCTGGGAGATCTGGATTGAGTTTCCAGCTCCCAGCTTGAGCCCAGCCCAGACACAGCCATTGTAGGCATTCGGCAAGTAACTGTTGATAGGAGCGCTCGCTCACTCGCTCTCTTGGCCTCTCAAATGTTTAAAAGGACGGATTTATGTCAGGCCTGGAAAGTTCGCTTTCCTCTTAAGATAAAAATAAACCTAAAGATAAAACTAGTTTATATTTTTTTCTTTTTTATTTATTTGACAGATAGAGCTACAGACAGCGAGAGAGAGAGAGACAGAGAGAAAGGTCCTCCCTCTGCTGGCTCACCCCCCAAATGGCCACTACGGCCGGTACGCTGTGCCAATCCGAAGCCAGGAGCCAGGTGCTTCCTCCTGGTCTCCCATGCGGGTGCAGGGGCCAAGCACCTGGGCCATCCTCCACTGCCTTCCCGGGCCACAGCAGAGAGCTGGACTGGAAGAGGAGCATACATCTGGAATTTTTTTTATTTTATTTGAGAGACAGAGCTCCCATTCATTGGTTCATACCCCAAATATTCGTGCAGTGGCAGGGGTTGAGATGGAACAGAGACCTGGAGCTGGAAATACAATCCAGGTCTCCCATGTGTGGGTAGCAGGAATCCAACGACAGCAGCTACCACTGCTGCCTCCGAGGGTCTTCACTAGGAAGCTGGAGGCCCGGAGCTGTGGCTTAGCAGGTTAAGCCTCCACCTGCGGCACCAACATCCCATATGAGCCCATATAGGTGCCAGTTTGAGTCCTGGCTGCTCCACTTTTGATCCAGCTCTCTGCTAATGGCCTGGGAAAGCAGCAGAGAATGACCCAAGTGGAAGACCTGGAAGAAGCTCCTGGTTCCTGGCTACAGATTGGCCCAGCTCTGGCTGTTGTGACTATTTGGGGAGCGAACAAGAGGATGGAAGATGTGTGTGTGTGTGGTGTGTGTGTGTGTTTCTTCCTCTCTCTGTCTGTAACTCTGACTCTCAAATAAAGCTTTACAAAAAAACAAAAACGAAACAGGAAGCTGAGGTCAGGAGCCAGAACCAGGAACCAAACCCAGGTACTCTGATGTGGGTGTTTGTGTGTGTGTGTGTGTGTGTGTGTGTGTGTGTGGTTTTATTGTTATTATTATTTTAGTTATTTGAAAGGTAGAATTACAAAGAGATATACGGAGAGGACTTCCATCCACTGGTACACTCCCTAAATGGCTGCAATAGCCAGGGTTGAGCCAGGCAGTTGCTGCGACCCAGGAACTCCTTCTGGTCTTCCACATGGATAGCAGGGTTCCATGTACTTGGGCCATCTTCTGCTGCTTTCCCAGATGCATTAGCAGGGAGCTGGATCAGAAGTGGAGCAGTTGGGACTTGAACCGGCACTCATAGGAGATGCTGATGTCACAGACTGTGGCTTTAACCCCTGCACCACAACACTAGCACCTAAGTGGGCGTCTTGACCCAAAGGCTAAATGCCTGCTCCTGGAATTTTTAAAAATATTTGTTTATGGAGCCAGCACTGTGGCATAGCAGGTAAAGCTGCCACCTGCAGTGCCTGCATCCCATATGGGTGCTGGTTTGGGCCCAGGCTACTGTACTTCTGACTCAGCTCTCTGCTGTGGCCTGGGAAAGCAGTAGAAGATGGCCCAAGTCCTTGGGCCCCTGCAGCCATATGGGAGACCTGGAGGAAGCTCCTTGTTCCTGACTTCAGATCGGCCCACCTCCAGCTGTTGCGGCCATTTGGGGAGTGAACTAGCAGATAGAAGATTTCTCTGTCTCTTCTCTCTATAACTCTGCCTTTCAAATAAATAAATAAAAGATTTGTTTCTTTGAAAGAGTAGCAAAGAAAAAGGAGAAGAGAGAATAAGAAAGAAAGAAAGGGAAAGAAAGAGAGAAATCTTCTATCCCCTGGTTCACTCCTCCTGTGGGTGTCAGGGAAGTTGGGAAAGCATCGGATGGCATCCCAAGTGCTTGGGAACCTGCCCCCCCGACATGGGAGACCAAGATGGAGTTCCTGGTTTTTGGCCTTGGCCTGGCCCTGACCTGGCTGCTGTGGCCATATGGGGAGTGTTTATTTACTTAATTTATTTGAAAGGTAGAGAAACAGAGAGATCCTTTCTACTACTCCAATCCCCAGATGCCCACAATGGCCAGGGCCAGTCAGGCTAAAGCCAGGAGCCAGGAACTCCATCCAGGTCTCCCACATGGGTGGCAGGGACTCAACTATTTGAGCCATCACCTGCTGCCTCCCAGGATCTGCATTAGTGGGAAACCAGAATTAGGAGCTAGAACCAGTCACTGAACCGAGGTACTTCAATACAGGATGTTGGTGTCCCAAGTAGCTTCTTAAAAAATTATTTATTTATTTATTTGAAAGTCACAGTTACACAGAGAAAGAAGGAGAGGCAGAGAGTGAGAGGTCTTCTATCGGCTGGTTCACTCATCAACTGGCCTAAACAGCCGGAGCTGGGCCAATCCAAAGCCAGGAGCCAGGAGCTTCTTCCAGGTCTCCCACACGGGTGCAGAGGCCCAAGGACTTGGGCCGTCTTCTGCTGCTTTCCCACGCCATAGCAGAGAGCTGGATCGGAAGTGGAGCAGCCAGGACTCAAATTGGCGCCCACATGGATGCCAGTGCTGCAGGCTGGGGCTTTAACCCACTGCGCCATAGCGCCGGCCCCATCCAAGTAGCAGGC